TCCTGTCTGCTTTCACATTAATAGCTACTGGCCTGTCTGAAACATAGTCAACTTTGATACATTCATGTGGGGGTATCACTGAAGGATTGACATAACATCACCAGTTTTTGACATCATGACCAACTTGGCTTTTGATGATGGGCTGATCCATGCTTGGAGGTGTCTTCAAGTCAGGTCATGTTGTAAGTTGACCATGTATTGAGTAGATATCAACATGAATAGCCTCCTCTAGCTGAAAGCCAACTTGGGCATGATGTGAGAAACTGCTGATGTGGCAATAGCAATATGTAAAGTCATGTCAATCCTTCAGCATATCCCCCATGAGCTTACAATTATCTTTTCAGATAGGACAGCAGGTATCAATATGAAAGGCTTAGGATGGCCTCTCCTGATGTGAAAGACAACTTGTGCAAGCAGTGGATACTACAAACTTTCCTAATGAAAAGGCGCACACTACAAACTTTTGTAGTCTCAAAAAGCGGATACTACAAACTTTTGTAGTCTCAAAAAGCAGACAATACAAACTTTCTAATGAAAAAGCGCACACTACAAACTTTTGTAATGACAAAAAGCAGACACTACAAACTTTGTAGTCTAAGTCCAAGCTTTTGTAGTCTAGGTCTGACTTTTATAGTCTATCAGTAAACTTGGTAGTCTATAAACTTTTGTAGTCTTTTGTATGTGTCAATAAACTTTGTAGTCTTTTATAGTGTATCAGTAAACTATGTAGTCTAAGTCCGACTTTTTTGTAGTTTATCAGTAAACTTGGTAGTCTATATCTGTAGGGCATGCACCTTCCTTTTTTGGTCATTTTCCCCACGATACAATAATTGTAGCCCTTTCTTTTAGCTTTCTAAATATACTGAAATCATGTTATTTGGTTTTGTTTTCATGGAGAAAAACACAAAAAAACAAAAAAAAATGCGGCGCTTTTGAAATTCCTTTATCTCATATCTCCACAACAGGAGCACTTCAGAACATAATTCAAACAGATTCAGGAAGCTACAGTGTAGGGCTACAACTTTCGTTTTTGACCATTTTTGGTAATTGGTCATGTGACCATCATCCCAACATCCCATTACATGGACCCTGATAGGTAAAATCATTCTCATCTTGCTTTTCTTCACTTTTAGTCAAACCAGGTCATATTTCCCTTTTGGGATGGACCCTGAATTGGACCCTGAAGGCAGTGCCTGATGTCCTGTACACCATTCATATGTTTTTCCAAATTTTCCGCTATTTTCCGGCTATTTTTGGATATATTACCATATTTGGAAAGGCACCCTGGACCCTGAAAACAACCCCAATGTCATCACCAACAGTGAGCACCACCCTCACTTCAGTCACCCATTTTAGGGTACCTATGAGGTATATGAATTCTTTGATTTAAGGGTACCTCAATGGTACCCATTCCAGAGTGGTATGTGAGCACCATACCAATACCATGGTACCATGGAATGAAAAACTCATACCATATCCCACTCATACCAATACCAAGTTACCATACCATACCATGTCATGTTATACCATACCAGATGGTATGATACCACTTCATACCATCATACCAAAGCTGTCACTGGGTGTCTGAGGTCCTTTTCCAAAATAAATAAATAAATTCTGCAGGCTGCAATACTGGTCCATTGGGTACCATTTTTTGTGGGGTGGTTCTCCATGTTTTTCTTGAGATATTGAGCTACAAATTGAGGCTAGATAGTCCAAACCATCTATTGAAAATGAGTTTAAATAGGCTTTATCCCAGCTTTCTCATGCATCCAAAGCCATTTAATGATACATATCTTTCCCAGTCCTTTCTATTTGAACAAATATTCATCCAAATCAAACAATGCCACATCTATTGAGATGAAGTGGTCATTGAGAAGCAAAGAAAAGTGGAAAGGTTCTTCAGGTTTTTTCTAAGATTTCCAACTCCAAGTGGAGGCTAGATAGTCAACTCCAACCTTTGGAAATCAGTTCAATTGAGGGTTTTTTCATTTCTAAAAAGCCATTAATATGAATCCTTTCAAAAATAGGTTAAATATGTTTTGCCCAGTAAGGCCAATCAGACAGTCCTACCTACTTACATAGCATATACATATAGTATGGCCAACAACACCATATAATCTCAAATTTCTTAAAAACTACATATGATGGAATCAGGTATTGTTGTCCTGAGTGTTTGGCCAAAGTCTTCTTTGTCATAATATTTGGTCCAATTTATTGAAGCTGAGTGAATCTGTCCAATCCAAAGTCTTGCTAATTGGAAATGGAATCAAGTCTTGTTGTCCTTAGAGTCTTCATTATCAAAATATCATACCATGGTATTGTAATCCCATGTTGCACTCTCATACCATACCATACCATGGTATTGCACTCCCATACTATACCATACCATGGTATTACACCCTCATACCATACCATGGTATTGCACTCTCATACCATACCATACCATGGTATTGCACTTCCATACCATGGTACTGCACTCCCATACCATGGTACTGCACCCTCATACCATACCATGCACCCTCATACCATACCATGGTATTGCACTTCCATACCATACCATGTACCCTCATACCATACCATGCACCCTCATACCATACCATGCACCCTCATACCATACCATGGTATCAGGAACCATAATCTATTTTTATTTAGGCAGAGGAAGGCAGAAAACCCTCATTTCGAAGTTTGTTTACATATATTTACCAATAGCTTTGACCAAAGTGAGGCTAAAATTTTGTAGTGTCCGCTTTGATGTGTGCACTATTTCCTAATTGGGCCATTTCCTAATTGGGAAAAGCGTTACACTTTTTTCTGCCACACCTAATGTCAGGCACAGTGCACATTTAGGTTGGGAACTGTTTCTCACGCTCTTTGGGCCACTGGAGTTAGTGGCTAGCTTAGTGTTGTCATTGTTTATGACGATGTTCGCATATTTCCTAATTGGGAAAGTCATTACATAATATCAGTTTGGTTTGTACTGTCCGCTTTTTCACTACAAAAGTTACTAGTGTGTGCTTTTTTCATTACTAAAGTTTGTAGTGTCCGCTTTTTGGACAACAAATATTTGTAGTCTTTGCCTTTGTCATTACAAAGGCTTGTAGTGTCCGCTTTTTTCGTTACAATGTTTGTAGTGTGCGCTTTTTAGACTACAAATGTTTGTAGTGTGCACTTTTAAAGCTTGTGCTCTGCTTTCCTGATATCTTGTAGTCTCCTATTATCTATGTAGGTATATGGGGTAGAGCTGATGTTTCACCAGCCTACACCAATGGCACGTCATGACTCTTGGTAAACTACCTTTTGGTAAACTGTCCCCTTGGCAAACTATCCACTGGACAACTACCCATTCTGATATAAGATGCATTTTGGCAAAGTATCCATTATTCATATATGAAAGTAACAGCTACTGGTGTGAGGACAACAAGAAAATGGAGACTGTCCCCCTCCCAGCGGGTTAGAATCCCAAGCTTGTCACTCATTCATCGTTCCTGACTCATAGAGTGGGCCCATAGGATGGCATCAAAACGATATTGCACAAAGTTCTCTCTCACAGGTGCAAGACCATCACCTTTGCACAAAAATGCGTGGTTGAGTGGGGATTGATCAAGATCAGGTGTAACCGATAGATGCACCAATGCCATGTGATGGGCATAGTTTGACAAGTTCAAACCACAGTGTGGCAAGGCGCTCCAGCTTCCGTAGAGACGCATATAAGTTGGGCATAGTTCAACACCAAGACAGCAAAACTACTGACTCAGAATGGCCTTCTCTAGTTCAACGTCCAACATTAGCCCTTGTAGAGAGCACCCCGGAGTTCTTGCGATGCTCCAGCCTTGGTTCTTGGGCTGTGAAGTCCAGCGTCAATTCTGTGTACATGCTGATTGATGATGTGGCCTTACCGCGAACAGTCCACCCCTAAGAGGTGTAGTGTCCTCAGGAAGAGAAAGAACAAAAAAGAAGCCAGACAGGAGTAGGTATTTAGTCAGAGGCCCGTCTTTCACCTCTAGAAGTAAGTTCTTCCTCACGTTTCACAGGAAGTGGGGGGAGAATGGAGGAGGCGGTGGAGAGTGATGTGTTAATCACCCACATCCTTTGATGGAGCCATAACATTTGGAGATGGGGGTGTAGTTTGTGGGGTGGACCATTGAGACCCCGTTCCTTCCGTGAGCCATTGCTCCTCAAATTTATGGACAGGAAAGTAAGGTTGTCAGACGAGGTGAAGGCACAGATCACAATGCTCTCAGAGGATAAAGGGACAAATAAATGTTTTCTTAATGAATTTGTCGCTGAGGAATGGGGGGAGAACGGTGAAGGGGTGTGGGGAGGCGATGAGGTGATTGCTGAGATGAGGGATGGGAGTATTCATGGCATGCGCTCCCCCTGCAATCTGTCAAACAGACTCTGCCACTGAATCAGGGATGGGGTCTAGGTGACAACACCCATCATCTCCTCCTCCTTCAACAGTGCGATCTGCATGTCCAACGGTAATAGCTCAAACTACAATTCGAGAAGGGGTCAACAAGAGCTTGTGCAGGGACACTGCTGCAGCCCCCAGCACACATCTTGAGAGTGAGTGGTGTGGTTCGAGGTCCTGGGCAAGGTGCTCCACCCGGTGCAGCTGGTGGTGACCTCTTTACACGTACGTGGGGCGCTGCACTCAAGCTGTCTGCATCCTCTTCAGGTGGATAATATGTCAGCGTGATGACAATGACGAAGAGAAGGAGATGAGCTTACTTACCCCAGTACGGAAGTAACAATCACCTCCACTCCCACCTTTCTTCAAAAGGTGTGCAGGACGTTGGACCAGTAGTATGCATATTTGGGAAATGGGAGAGTCTGTGCAAGTCGAGTCTGTATAGCCATAGTCGTTCTCTGTAAACACATTTTATTGACGATGGATTGAAACACACCATGACAGAGAACAAGCAGGCACCAGGGAAGGTCACAGTTGATGCAGTAGAGTTACCAAACAAGTGTCAATCTTTTAAAATTGACACTTGTTTGGCTGCAACCTCCTGGAATTGAAGCCGTCGACGACTACCCCTAGCATGGTTCAACTTCACACTAAACAGGAGGCTGGGAGTGGGGCTGGTTCATCTAAACAAACCAGGTCTTCTAATAGGGAGGCGAGGCAGAGGAGAGGGAAGAGAGGAGACAGCTGGTGAATAAGTGTGATTACTGTCTTCAAGAGTAACAAGATCTATACCCTGCTCATTCACAAATTCACTTTTTCTTGTTGAATTTTATCTTGTCACTTTCTTTCTTATTTTGGGTGTGGCTGGTGAATGTCCGAACTTGTCTAAGCAAGAGTTGGAGCCAGCATTCTGAGAACACCAATTCCAACCGCAGTAATGAAGACACATACTATTGCCATTGTAGATAGAAAAAAAACCAGGACTCATATTGCCATGCGAAGCAATGGCCCACAGCCTGCAAGTTCTTATACAGACCCGTTTTTTTGTCACACTATTCTTTGAGAGCCATAGACAAACATAGCCAAACAGGTGTCAACTTTGAACTGAAAAGTGGACATCCACTTCTCAGTTTAAAATTTGTCAATGTTTGGTTGGTCCTGTTGAATAGGTAGGTGCTCATCTAAGCTCTATGGATT